CTTGATGAAAATAATGGAATGAAGAAGACGTTATTCAATCGTGTGCAAGTACCTATACAGTCCGTATATTTGTTTGTCGAAGGTACCAACCGCTTAAATAACAGATCAAATTCATCGCAAACCCCCAATGAGAAGAAAGGAATGAGAAGGAAGAAGACAACGATGAATAACGAACCTGTAAGAAGGGTTTCGCGACCACCAGACAACGCCCCAAATGGAAGCATTCCGTTGGGTGTGAGACCCTTCAGCTCCAACACGCTCTCGCTCTCTTCCCTGTCAAATAAAAACGAGAAGGTGATATGACCAAAACAATTTGCAATAACTGCAATGAGTCGAGAAGATTGGCTTTATTATTAAAATACTGCGCTTAAGAGTCTACTCTTCCCTTATTCCTTCTGACCTTCATCGCTCCTTTCAGCGTGCTAGATCCGATTAGTGTCGCCGGGTGGAATGAAAACAGATAGTGAAGGCGTGTGGAAAGTCTAAGCCGAAACACTGACCATTACTAAATGATAACGTAGAAGCAGCAGACCCACCTATCCCAGAATAGGAGTGCATCAACGATGAGTTCATGTTTACACTCCCACAAAAAACATGCATCAACTCAGTTCCGCGTGTCTCCAGACGAAGATTGTCCCATCTTTGGGATAAGGACCTCCCCATCCATTTTTCATTCTTTACCCTTCAACCAGTGCCAATTCAGTGGAGTTAAGAAGGGGGAACAGTACAGTAATTGCTCCTTTCCTCCCCTCGACGAGAATGAAGAAGAATTGTATCGTATGAAAGTATTCAATCAGTCAATTACATTGACGCTCGTTGCAGCGTTCTGGTGGCCAAATTTTAAAACCTTCACGGAAAAGTTTTAAGACGACTAGAAAGAAAATTAGCTAAAAAGCGATGTTTACGTAAAACAAGACCTGTACTAATGGAAGAGGAGAGGAGTGGATTAGGGTTGTGGCGGCGTTGTCGTCCTCTTTATGTCAAAACGTCACCAAATACCGTTCCCAATATTAAAGTCTAGTTGTACTAAGATTTGTCACCAAACGTCAATATGAGGCAAAAAAGGAATAATGAAAGCAATTTCTTTTAATGTCTGAATTTGGAGGCCGGGATCGTGCCAGGAGCCAATCTTTTTTGTGAAGGTTATCGAGTTGTAAAAATAGAACGAAACCAACCTCAGAACAGTGAAGACGCGTGCCATCTTGCCAATCGCCCGAATCTTATTTCTTATCACCTCTTTTCGCGCAGCCACTGTCCCTCCTAAAAGAAAGACACACACGACTGAGAGGATACAAGTGACCAAAAGAAACGACATGTGACACAGAGGCGATAGTCGGCCAACAAGAATAAGAGATAAACCAAAAAAGAAAGCGATATATGGTGTACAACGTGGTTTGATAATGGTATGAGGCAGGTGAGCAACTCAACACAAAACCAACGAAGGAACGAATAAAGGCAGTCGCAAATGTTAGCGTGAGTAAGGAGGGCGCGATTTTAGCAAAAAGCCGCGATGGACATCATTGTGATTGCCCACCTTCGCAGTATAGACCAACAGTAAGTAGTTGCATTGCATTGCAGGAGCACCGACTACAAAACATGCGCGAAGCGAAGCCACAGATTCCACTGAGTTCTAAAATTAGTCTGAAATGATCCCGACACCTACTTGCAAGACTTCTTAACCTTTTTGTTAATGGAGAGACCAATAGCTCAAAGGTCTGTGATGGATGAAAATCCACTTCATACACTAAATAAATATGGATGCATCCATCAAACTGTTTAGTGGAACACAGTTCCTTTTGCTACTGCATTTCCCTTTAATCGGTAAAATATGTTAAACCTTAATAAAGAAGAATGAACTAAAACATTCGCCACCTGGAGCACATCAGGGAAAAGCAATAACCCCAGTCACTTCAATGTCTTGTCCTTTTATTAACACCAATACGTGATCAATTTACTCGTAATTCAAGGATCAAGCACACGTCGACCATCTTCAGATCAAAAACACCTACCAGTTTCAGTGAAATTGACCAATTCAACACGACAGAATGAAAGCGGTGTTCGCATGG